CTATGGGTCCTTTTCTTTTTTACATTTTTTTAATGGGTTTGTTGGCATAGTAATGCTGCATCCACTTCATACTGTGAGTAATTTAACCTCAGATATAAATGTGGTGTTTAAATACACAGCTTCAGTCCATAATATAAAGGTTAATTACCAACAGTTGTGTTGTTGAATAAATCCGTTTGCTGAACGTTCAACATCTGCAGCAGGAACAAAAACGTGAAAAAGCTAAAAACTACTGAAAGGATCTGAGTGGGGAAAGTACATTTTTAAATCTGTCAAGTTAAAAAAATCATTTTAAATACCACGAAAGCATGAGCTGGAGAGTGGTCAGCTTTAAAACGTGCTACTGTGCTGCTGCTAATAATAAAACAATTTAAAAACGTTCTTCTGTGGGCTGAGGATCATTTTAGTGAATCGACTTCAGCTGATCCAAACTGTTGCGTTCATTTATTTTCTTGAGCCTGGACATCATTTTAAAGTGTAGAGATAAAGATGTTTAATAAAAAAGGCTCCTCGCCTGCATTTGGTAGTTTGAGAGTTGAAATCAGCAGCACAAAGTTGTCTAGAACGTTCAGAGCCGCTGTCGGGTCTGAAGGCGTGTTTCTGTTAGAACATCAGAGTGGACAGGACCGGTCTGGAGCGGCTGTAAACACAGAACCTGTTTAACATCCACAGCGTGAGGAGCCTGTTTTATGGTATAAGCTGGTCGTGTGCTTTTAAATGTAAACTGGACCCAGCTGTCCGGTGTCAGCGGTGCCGGTGAACCCACATCGTCTGCCTTTGGTTGGAACTTCACTGTTTAACACCACGTTGTGCTGTTTCCTTCAGCTAAACGATCCACAGGAAGGAGAACATGTAACCGGAGCCACAAACACCCAGAACCTGCTCCCGGTTCAGAGAGCTGAGCTGGGTTTTCATAGCGTCTTCCAGCATCGCTCAGCTCCTCTGGCCTCAAACCATGACCATGAAATGACCTCCAGCTTTCTCTCAGCCGAAATTCTGTCTGGGCAGATTAAAGTTGGGTTCATTCTGGGCCTCAGTCAGCGCTGACTCGGCTCAGACTGGGTCCGGCCATCGGCTGCTGGGTCCGGTCAGGGCGCAGCTCTGTGTAAATGTGCTCTAAATGCTCTACAGCTGTGAGCAGAAGTGAGAATAGAAGCAGGAAAGGTCAGGCTGAGCAGAAACACTGAGGATGTGATTAAAACATGGCTGCCTGCTCCCCTCCCCCCCTCCAACCAAAAACAGCATCAAAGCAATCAAAATGGAAATGTTAGCATGAATGGACCATCCCCCCTCCACCTCCACCTCCTGCATCCAACTCTGCAGACTTTCCCCGGCCTCCCCTCCTCCACATGGACACCGAGTGAGCACAACAACAGCACACAAACTTTAATCGGGCCCACAAGCTGCATTCCTCCGGAAATATATCGATCAGAGTGAAGCAGAGCAGCTCCGGCCTGAAACTAGTAAACCGTGAACCACCGAGCAGCCCAGCAAACCCTCCGCTCCTCCGGCTGCTCCGCTCCGCCCGGATGCGGGGAAGTTGCCGGCTGGGACGCACCGAGCGGCGGGGCGGAGCAGCAGCAGCAGCAGCCGGGGGAGCTGGCCGCGGTGCTGAAGCAGCATCCAGCCTCCATCCAGCCTCCATCCAGCGGCTCGCAGCTCCGCATCAGGCCGCCTCAAAGTTAACGCAGGACGGCCGCGAGCATAGTAAGAAAGTGGAGCTGAGCCAATGAGAGGCGGCGCTGCGGTCATGTGACCAGCAGAAATAACAGCAGCAGCCTGCAAAGTGAGAAAAGCTGCTGAAAAAGAGACAAAAAGCAGCTCCAGCTCCCCATCAACGACTAGTTAGGCTGCGCTAACTAGCAGTGGGCTCCAGCAGCAGCTAGTCAGCGCAGAGCCCGCCGCTGCTGCTCGGCTCCAGAACCATGTCGACCTGCTCAAAATGGACGCTAACATTTTTCAACATTACACAACTTTAGAGCAGCAGCTGGGCGGCGGAGCTAGCAGCTAACACCGCCGGGAGCTCAGCCTCCACCGCGGCCACCGCCAGCCCCTCGGCTGCCCCTGGCCGGAGGAGTCCGTCCCCCTGGAGCTCAGCCCGGCTCGGCTCCAGGAGGACGGACTCCTCCGCTCCGCTCCGCCGGCTGCTGCTTTGTGACACACCGACAAACTTCAGCAATATGACGGAGCAGAGAACCGGGAGCTGCCCGCTAACAAGCACATTACCGCCGATAAAGTTTGTCCCCGGTCCGCCCCGACCCTCCGGCTAGAAATAAAGCGTTACCTGCGGCTCCTGCTTCATCGGTGCAACTAGTTAGCGGGAGCCGAACCGGGATCAGAAAAGTCTCAAGTTTTCCGGGAGGAAACAAAGCGGCGATGATCGCAGCTCCTCATAAATATTCAGGTCGCGTCCGGATCGACTCGCAGCAGCAGCGCCGCATTATCGTCCCGATTCCTGTCGCTCGGAGCCAAAGAGCCGCGACAAGCTGCTCAAAGTGCCGCTAAAAGTGCAGCCGACGAGCCCCGGAGGTGTCGGCGGGGCGGCCGGCGGACATTAGCCGGCGACATGTCGCATAGTTCCCGTCAGCTCGCTCATCGCCTCCTGCTCTCACTCTCTCCCACAACACGATGTTTCACTTACCTGATGACATTGGATTTCCACTTTGAGCGCCTCTTGCAGGCCTTGTAGTTCCATGTTCCGTCCAGAAAAACACTTTTCTCGCACTTTCGACGCCGCAGAGACGAACTTTAAGTGAATTAAAGCTTTTTTAAAGCGACAATAACAATTGAAAGACTCCGGCTGCACAGCAAGTTCTCGCTTCTTTTACAGGCTAGGACTCATCACACACTTTCCGCCCGTCTTCAAAAGTGCTCCAAACCGGGCGGACCGAGCTCAGGCCTGGCACAGGTCCTCTCCGGGATTCGGCCGAACGTCGACGAGTCCCACCGGGGAGCGGGTTCGCTTTTCTTTCGGTAATTTTAAGTTGAAAAACGGGGACTATATTTTGTCCGAGTCCGCGGCTTGATTTCACTTTGCCTGGGGAAAAGTTGCGCTTCGGCTGTCAATGGTAATTCTGAAGTTCCCGGATGGAGCCCAGAGAGCAGACTGAGCATGCGCACGGAGCAGGGCAGCTCCAGCCAGTTTGTGGCTAAAGTCTTGTTTTTACACATCTGCTGACAATAAACTCCGACTACACATGACAGGGGGGCTGCGGAGGTCGAGCACAGCCACAGCACTGACCAAAGACACTTTATGTGAAGCTAAAGTGTGCATTAACTCTGATTCTCTTATCTAATTATCCAGTACTGACAAAAAACTACCACTACACAAAGACAAGGCCACGACAGAGGTCTAAACAAACTACAGTATTAATCACATAGAGTTTTTCTACAGCCAAAGTGTAAGTTGATGCTGAATATCTAGTCATATCACCTAATGAAACCGCAACAGTAACGCTGTGAGTTAGTGCTGGACAGTTAATCCAAATATCACCAACATGACCACATGAAAAACCCAAATATACCACGTTTATGGATGAACTAAGAGTCAAACTTGATCCGTCCAGCAGATTTCATGTAAATGAAATGAAACACAAAGTGTAAAACAAAGCCAACAGGGAACAATACTGATAATGTTTCAGTGGACAAGAGACTTTAGAAATGATCATTTTTACTGAGATCATGACTCCTAATCATCTGGTTTATGTTTCCACATCCCTCAGCTCCACTCTGACTGTTGTTGCCACAGGACTGCATCCTACATCTGGATTAATCAAACTCACCGGCTAATCAGGGAGCAAAACTAAATATTTCTTACTTTTTCTTGTCTTAAAAACTATTAATAATCCAAATAAGGCACAAAACTATCAGAAACCAAAAACTAATAAAACGTTAGGAATCACAACAGGACGTTTAGTTTCACTTTACTTTTCTTTTCATTGTACATTCATACTTTTAGCTTTTCCCTCCCTGTTATTAAGTTACATGAAGCTATAGAGAAGCTAAAATTAACACACACACAAGTCACTTGATCCTCAGCCGACTGGAAATCAAAAGGACAACAACTTCTAATAACTTGTTTAACTGTAAACTAAATGTTATAATTCATCCTACATCCACCCAACCGGTGGAGGCAGATGGCCGTCCCTCCCTGAGCCTGGTTCTGTCCGAGGTTTTCGGTTCCTTCCCACCAGCAGACTGCTGAAGCTTATAGAGAATCCAGATGTTTGGATTGTTGGGTGTTTCTGCCTTTGTTGAGCTCTATGAGATGACTGTTGTTGTAAATATGCGCTATACAAATAAAACGGAATTGAATTGAATTGAAATCCAACATAATTCAGTTCAACACAGCTGATAATCACCCTAATGAGGATTAAGTGGTGTATAGATAATGGATGGATGGACAACAGGTAAATTACCTGTGACTTTAGGAACCAGAGCTCTGCGTCAGTTCCACTAATGTTTGTTGAATGATTAAATAAAATCATAAAAAGATGTAAAGTTTATGTTGTATGTAGTTTGTTGTTATAATGTTGTTTCTTCAGTGACCACAAAATGTTCAGAAAACTACAACATTTACACATTTATTATGTTTTTGAGTTCAATATTAAAATACTGTGTGTAAATTCAATTCATTTTATTTGTATAGCGTATATTTACAACAACAGTCATCTCATAGCGCTTCACAAAGACAGAGACACCCAACAATCCAAACATCTGGATTTGGACATTTGGATAAAGAAATCTAAATGATGATCTAAATCAGAGAAGCCAGAAGCAACAGGAAATACGTCACATTATGACTCTAAACCAGAGAGTAACACGGTGCAGTCAAAGGTTGTGGAGATTTAAACAGAACCAGCCACATTCTGTACGTTCACATTATTCCCTCCTTCATGGAGGAAAGTCCTGGAATATGAGATTAGAATAAAACTGTCCTGGTCTGAAAAGTTAAGCCTCTTTGGGGACAAACTGTTTGTCACAGTCCAGTAAATTTACATTTAGAGTATTAAGAAGTGGTTTAATAAAACGTCGACGGTGGAAACAGCCTCAGACTGCTGCAGAGAAAACCTGGAGGAGGCAGGAGGTGGAAACACGACGAGGAGAAGGAACCGCGTCAGTGGAAAACATTTTCCTTCTATAGAATACAATAAAACACAGAAATTAAACACTTCACATATAAAGTCCGACTCACTTGTGTGTCTGTGGCCGGCAAGCATCACGTTTCTACGTCATCCTGACAGCTTTCAACACTCTGGTGGACATCACGCTGCATGAATGAAAGACACGCTGTAAACCATGACATAAGACAAGGTGGATTACAACACATGAAGCCGGAGATTAACAGTGATGCACACGTACATGTCACAGAAATCCTCACCTACATCCTTCTGCTTCGTCTAAGTTGATCACATTCCACTGATTGGTTTTACAGCCGAGTCGCTACAGCTGCACGGAAAACACAACAAAGTCCCTCTGGTGGTGT